CGGTTTTGAGGCCTGGGTTAGGCTTTATTACTGCAAGAGCTTATCTGCTCTGGTACAGATTCAAAGCTGTATCCAATCTTGTCAGTCTTCAAAGGCACCCTCACATGACTGTTGCTGAAGAGTTGCTGAAGTCTGCTGGAGTCTGAAATTATATGCCTGTTTGTCACACACCGTGCCAGATTAAGCCTGCTGCATGTAGGGCTGGCTACAGCCATTGTCTGCTGAATCCACAAGGGTCTGACAGCACTGTAACTGGGAGGAAGGTTACAGTTTGGTTTGCAGGCAGGAATGCTCTTTTCACCTATTTCTTTCCAAGTGAGACTTTAATGGCTGATCCCACTCTGTTCTAGAGCTGGGTTTCAAATGATCTCATCCTAGTGATTTTCCAAGCCCAGGTTTTGTAGAATGTATTTGCTGCAGTGTTTATATCCTGCATCTGAGACTGAAGAAAGTTTGGTAAGTTTCAGGTACTTTGGAAAAAACATACGTTAAGATGTCACCAAATTACCTTCTTGGAGCTCTGGTGATGTTTTTATTAAAGCTTTGAAATCTGGTACTTTTCTGATAAAAGCTGATTCTTTCATCAGACTTTGAACAGTGCGTTCTGCTAGGTCAGTGCTTGCAAGTCACCAAAAATTGGATTCACAAAGATAAATTATCTGAGAAAGAAAAATTGTTTATTTTGCAGTGACTGCAGCTCTTTAGATATGTTGCATGTACATATTTGATGAGTAGCCTCACTTCTAGAAATACTTCCTTCTCAACTCAGAAAGTGTCAGTGCTTCAACACTGTTTGGTGCTTGTTCAGTGTTATAACATTTTTTGGGTGCTTGCTGTGCAATTCTCATGTATCATCTGATTTCTTCTGAGTTCTAAGCTGTTGCCATTTACTCCAGCAGAGTACAGTTTTCAGACAGTGAGCATCTTTGTCATCGTGTGTCTGAACATTGCCGGTAGTAACACGGATGATCTGGGCTGGCAAAGAAAGGGAATGGTAGTTGCTTCTTCTTATTCTCAAGAGAATCAGGAAGACCACTTAACTTTCTGTACTAATAATACAAACTTAGCAAATAATTTTTTCTCCTAAAATCGGCAAGACAGATGCAGCTAGTTTTCTTGATGTTCCAAGGGAGAGAATGGCAAAAAGTGCTCCCATCTGTAGAGCACCTGTCCTGTACAGCAGACTTTGAAACAATGCCATGTGAAGCACATTGATAACAGGTTATAAGGAATTCCAGATATTAGAGGTAAGCTGTTTTCTTTCCTTTTCCTTTCAGAACTTGAAATTGTCTTTGTATGAATGAAAAGCAGTCAAGAAGGACGTAAACTTTATTTGTATTTCCTTTCATTTTTCTACTTGAATGTACATCAGTTCCTTTCACCTTCCCTAATACTCCTCTTTTTTTCTTCTCCTACCAGAATCTATTTTATTCACAAGCAGAAAACAGCAGAGCAACAGTGCAGGAAGGAATGAACCCTGGGCTCACCTTCAGTAAAACACAGTGTCATCAGAGAACTTTTGGAGGAATTTCCCTTTATTTTGGCCAGTAGTGTGCATACAAGAGAGTGAAAAGATGGGGAACCACACAGCTCAGGATATGCAGGTTGAAGGAAGTAAAGGAACTGAGCTGACTTGGAGAAAAACTAGCAAAGAAAAAGCCTTAGGAGCACATCCTGGCCGGTCTGCATGCATGTCATGTAGACTAAAAAGATAATTTATAATTATCTGGAAAAAAAATGAATTATGCTTTTCCACATGACTACTGTATGTATTGTCACAACTAGAGATGAAAAAAGGGCACAGTTATACAACAGTTGTTATTCTTTGGGGTTTCTGCCACACACCACTTTCCAGGTCCTTGTGCTAAAAGGAGTAAAAATATTTTTAAAAAGCATAGGCTTAATAACCATATGCTAGATTTGTGCTACTTCTAGGGAGGATTCTACTTCTAGGAGACTAGAGTCTCCTGGGCACAGAGGTACTTTTATTGTTTCTTTTGAAATAAATTCAATCAAATTGAATTTATTGTTGATGGCAAGTATTTAGAAAGGCCATATGTGTGCAGTCACAGTCCAGATCTTGTGTGCAGGGCATTGGGGCAGCTCTTTCTGCAGACCCATCAGTATCTTAGCTAAGTGTGATATGCATTTCTAGGCACATATTCCCAAACTATGGTTTTTCCCTAAGTCTGAGCCAGAGGTATCCAATTAGCAAAGTGGAGATGTTCTGTTCCATTCCCCTAATTTTTTAAAACCTTTTGTCTCCTACTCAGGTTTTGAACAGCAACACTAGCTGGAAGAATTTAAGATTTCCATTTGACTAATGGCTTTTAGCTTAAATTTATTCTTTCTTCCCCATTTTTTAAATTAGCTGCAAATTTGAGGGGGGAACATTTGCAAAAGCTTGATTTTACATTTTTTACTGAGGGCTGTGAGGCATGCAGAGAGGATATTCCACAGTAAAGTTTGCTCTTCAGCGTTGAGGCTTTAGTCCTAGCTCTGCAGTCCTGTGTCCAGGAGGTTATTGCTGAGATTTTAAGTGAAGAACAGCAATGTGTTAAAATACTACACAAGCTTTCAGGGGAAACAGAGACCATGGAATAATAATTGCAAGACACAGGGAAGGCTTAGATCTGCAAAGTGGTTTATTGTGCCTTCATTCATTTCAAGCCTAATCCTTAGTTATTCTAGTTTGCCTGGAAAATCTTCCCTCTGTGTGACTGTTGTTCTGTATAATTTCTACTTCTATTCCAGTTGTGTCTACAGGCCCTTTTCCTAGTCTGGCACACAGCACTGAGTGGTGAGCTGTGCTGTTCCCAAAGTGGGATACAATCATAGCCTGAAAAATAATTAAAAAAAAAACAAAAATCCAAACCAAACACAACAAAATGGATTGAGAGGAAGAAGAGAAAAATGAGCCTCCCTTGAGAAATCCCTGTGGCCCCAAGGTAAGCCAGCAGTACAGCTCATGATGGAAACTGATTCTCTTTACAAACTTATACTGCCTATTAAGAGGACAATGCATATATTAAGAGGACATATGCATGTTTCCATACTTTATCTTATATGGAGATACAATCTAAGTTTGTTAACTTCAGTCTAGATAGGACTAAATTTGAGTTGTAAATACACTCTCCTCTTCCCAGGAAGACACAGTGGTTCACTGCATGAGTGTGTTGAGTCCTACCTCTGCGATGTAATGACAGTATTTCAGCCCAGCTTCTCTGTGCTCTGAAAACCTGTTGTAACATGTAATTTTTCTGTAGGAGGTGGTTGTGCTCTCCATGAAAAGGGGTTACCTTACTCATTTTATGCCTTTAGCACTGTTCTCTATTGGTAAATATAATCTCCCTGGAGTCCTGTAAATTATTGAAGTGAAAAAGTGCAGACTCAGAAGATGAAAATTTCAGCTAGGTTTAGTGAATAAATTTGCATGTTAAGTCAGAAGCTTTCCTTGTTTTCTGTTTTTTCTCTTAACAGTGTCTTCTTTCTTGTCTATGCTGCAGTGACAGAAACTGTTTAGTGAGGCTGCTTGTTTTCCTGTCCTTTTTTGCTTATTTCCAAGTGGGATAAACACCCACCCAAAGGTGGGTCTTCACCTTTGCAATTCTCTATTTAAGGGGAAAACTCCTTTTACAGTGTAATATAAGAAAACTATATGAGAACTTTTCCATAACAAAAATGAAATTAGGAAAAATCAACCAATTACAATTCTGTTGTTCTGATGTAACTACTAAAGATATCTGTACATCGTCTCTAAACACAGGAAAATTCTCCCATTGCTTTTTCCCCCCAGTAAAATTCACCTTGATGGTATAGTTTGCCTGTTCCAGCATATCTCAGGAGATGCCCCTTTGAGAAGAAAGGACTAAAGTATCCTACTTGCATAACTAAAGTGTAAAATAGCAACAGAGAGCATGGCACCCCGATATAGGGGCGGGGCAAACTTTTAGTACTCGAACCTTTCTCGTTACATAATTTTTTCTTGATAAATCGATAGATGAGGGTGCACAACTAATACAAAACACCTTATGAAGGTGTCTATAAGCCATCTTCAGGCTTACAGCGAACATAAATTAAAAAAAAAAAGTTAAATGGCACTGTGTGAGGTTTAGATGTTTTCTTCTAACCTACTAAAGCGCGAGGCGTTTTACCCCGGGAGGTGACAATGGCATCGCTGCCCGTGACGGGGGGAGGCGAGGGCCACAGCACAGCCCAGGACAGCCGGACACCGCTCGCTTGGCTGCTGGTTGTCGCCTCCCGCTCCCCGGTCAGTCACCGCCCCCGCCCGGCGCCCCCGCTCCCGCAGGATCCAGGAGCGTGTTCCCGGCGGGAGGTGCCGGAGCACGGGCGGGGGATGCAGCCCCGCTGTCCGATCCCGCCCGAGGGGAAGGTTCCAGCGGGAGGCGATCCGGTGCTCGGCAGCCGCCTCGCCTGCCCGTGCTGCTCCGGGCCATGGCGGCGGGGGCGGGCCGGGGCGGGGCGGAGCTCTGACGGGCAGCCCGGCCCGGGGAGCCGCGGTAAACAGGAGCCGGGTGAGAGCCGGGAGTGACCGGCCTCGCAGGAGCCTCCCAGCGCCGCGGCCAGCCGCCTCCCGGCCCCGGGCATGGGCAGCAGCAGCCGCCGCAGCCGGAGGAGGAGCCGCCGGCCCGGGCCCTGTGCGGGGCACCAAGGTAGGCTCGGCCGCCGCCCTGGCCGTGGGCAGCCGCCGCTTCCTCCGCGGCGGCCGAGCCGGGTCCGCCGCCCCTCCGGCGCGGGGAGGCCGGGCCCGGCGGGGCGCAGGGCAGGCGGGTGCGGGGCCGCTTGCCCCGGGGCCGCCGCTCGCCCCGGCCCCGCCGAGCCCGGCAGGTGAGGCGGCTCCTGGAGGCGGTGGGTGCCGGCGGCGAGCAACAGGCGGCGCGGCCCGGCCCGGCCCGGCCCGGCTGCCCCCGGGACCCGCCGCCGTGTCGCGGGGTGTCGGCCGGGGCAGCGGGACCCACGCGGGGTCACCGCCAGCCCGAGGGGCGGGGGTGCGGCGGAGCCTCCCGGCATTGACCGGGGCGGAGGCTCCGCTCGGAGAGTTCAGGGCTGTTCCCCTGTCGGAGCCGAGGAAGCGGCACCTAATTCCCTGGTAAGAGGCTTTCCCACCTCCGCCGTCTTTGTCTGCTCAGGCTCAGCGCGTCTGCTGCTGCTGGCACTGGGAGCATTAGCGTCGCTGGGGGGAAAGGGGGAGCGGATCAGCTGTGGGAAAGGGACTGTGCTTGCACCAGGTGTCAGGTTTGGAGGAGGACGTGGGTTCGCGTTCGGTTTGCGACGTGTAACAGAGATACGCCAGTGAGAAAACAGTACACAAGATGTGCTCGTCACAACGTGTTCTTAAGGAATCGTGAAGTTTCACGGCAGACCGAAAAATAGAATTCCTGGAACTAGTTGGCAAGCAGAGTAATGCTCGAGTTATTCCAAACTGTAACACTTTAACTTTTCCTTATTTTAGTATGCTAAAAGTGCAAGCAAGGCGAGAATTACAGTGTGCCAATGTGAGATCAGTCTCAAACCGCAGTGCAAGAGGGCACGCAGCTCGGGCTCTGCTGTTGGAAAACGATTGGTATACTTCTGAACGTAGCAAATTTGTGAAGTAACCCAGCACCATAGGTAGAGCTTGAGTGGAGATGGCAAGAGATCTTGGAAGGAAGATAGGAGTGGAAGAGGAGAGAGCTGTCTGACAGTAACTCTTCAGCTGGAGCAGCAGCAATCTATGAATTTGTGCTTCTGAAATTAGTTTGGAGTAGTATCAGCTGAGGCTGAGATTAATGCAGATTGATCCCTAGTCAAAATTTTTCAGAGAAAAGTTTTCTTTGAAAAGCATTTATTAGAACTAAGGTGTTTTATGTGAAACCTGTGAACACTGGTGAATTTCCACTGATGCAGAGTCTCTGGACCAGGGTTGCTGGACACATCAATGTTTCTGTCTCAAGGGTGTGCCCCAGCACCCAGAATAATACCTGCTAAGGTATTATTGCTTAGCTGTAGCCCAAACCATTTGGTGCCAGACCTCTCTGAGCAACCCTGTAGCTGCTCAGAGAAAGTGAGACATTCCCCAGGATTTGATTCTGCTGTGGTTGCTGAAAATGGTAGGACAGCTGAAATCTAAACAACTGCCCTTTTGCTAGGAACTTTGTGTGACTTAGGTTACAGTCTAATGTGAACTTAAAAAATTACCGATTCACTGAAGATTTGTTGCTATGGTGTTGGGTTGGTTTTGTTTTTGTGGTTTTTTTTAACTTGGCTTTTAGCTAGCCCTAGCCAGCAGTTTTGCTTATAGAGGTAAACTAGTTGAAAAGAAGCTGTTTTCTGTTTTGGGGTGTCACATTGGATGGAAGGCTGGAGCCCTTTTTATGCCTCAGTGTGTGGATGTGTGGGCAGAATTGTGGAGGTGTCCAGATAAGGCAGTTATGATTCCAGTGCCAGAAAATACACCTGTTCCCTGGCTGCTTTTGCGCAGTCTGAAGTGTTGTAAGGCTAGATTAATCCAGCATGCTGGATGAACTTTCTATATTTTCAAGATTAGAGGGTTTTTTTAAACTTTTGTTATTTTAGGTTTAACACTTTGGATGAGCAACTCTCCTGTGTTAAAGGGTGGAAGGACTCAATCTTCCCAGCTGCAGAGGCTGTCACAGGTACTTTGGGCAACATAGCAAAGTGTCTTCTCTGCCAGTCTGATTTCCTTACTGCTCTTCCAAACACTGACATTAGTGGGGAAGGCAGGCCACTGCAGGAGTGTGACAGCTTCCAGTAGCAAGGCTCCTCAAGGAAGGAGTTGTAGATGGTTCTTACAAGCCCTGAATTGATCCTACTGCCTAAGAAAAAAGCAGTCTGCTGCTGTGGGTCTTTTCTGCCTTATACTTCTGTTAGTCCTGGTGTGACTGACTGGTACCTAGCTTCAGAAGTAGTGAATAACAAAATAATAGTGTGCATGGCTATCTGCTAGGAAAAAGGAAAACAGGCATGAAGTGTCTTCTTTTTTTTTTCTAATTTTTTTTTTATTCTGCCCTTCCTCCAAAAATATAAGGAACTCTTGATCCTGTAAAAGTGGCTAGCATTCTGTAAGAGCCTGTAGCAGGACTACAAAAAATGAACAGGCTTTGAAGGAAGGAGCTTGCAGGAACCCTGAGCAACCTTGTGCTTGGATTGTCTGCATGTGGCAGACAAATAGTGAATAGCAAAGCAGTAGAAGGCCATAAGGAATAGAAAACTTCAAGTCTGGGGAAAAACTTCACTTCTAGGCCATAGGTATTAGAGGAGAAATCTTCTTGGGGAACAAGTTATCCAGTTACTGACTGTTCCAGTTCTTTCTTTGGACCATCTAGTGTTAGCTGCTGCAGGAACAGAGTGAACCGTGTAAACCACACATCTAATTTCCACAGTGAGACAGAACTCGTGCAGGGTTTACTGGAACTTCTGTTTTGCTGACTTGTGGATTGACTGCAAAGATCTGGTGGCAGCTTGCTTTAGCATAGCAGAGCTGGCATTAAACTTGCTGGATGGGCTTTGTTCACTGTGGATTTTCACAGCTCCAGGTTGTTGAAATACTCATCACTGAGTTAGGGTCAGTTTTACTAATTCCGTTGTCTGGCTTTTACTGAAAACACCACTTGACAAAAGAAATCCTAATTTCTAAAATTATCTTTCACTGCTTCCCACAATATTTTTGTGGGTCTTTTATGGAGGTATCCACAGTCACGTGAAGCATTGGAAAACCAAATAACTGATTACGTTGTGTTTACTGATTCTGGGGTAGGTAAATGGACAAGAGCCCTTGGAAGCCTGGTCTTTTTGCAATTAAAGGTGTAGCTGTGTTATTCTTAAATTTAACTCCTCACTGGACAGACAGATAGTTCACAAACAGCAAGAGATATCTCAACCATCGGCAGTTTCTAGTGCTTGCAATTTCTTTTCCCCAGGGACCCTGGAAGAAGGCTGGCCTTTATTATGTGCCCAGCTGGTTATCATGTTTGGGCTGGTCTAGATCAAAGGTATATGTAAATGACTGTTAAATTTCTCTGTCTTTACAGTGAGTGCCTCTCTGGAGCTCAGATTGGGTACCTGCAGGCAAGTAGGGGAGCTTGGTAGCAAATCTTGACTTTAATCAGAGACCTGGCAGAATGTCACGGTGGATTGAAGTCGATTGAAAACAGTGTTGGAAATTTTTGAGGAAATACACATATATTACCTGTATGTGTAATAGGTGAAAAATACTAAAAGATCCTAGAAACTGAGGCTGAGATTTTTCCAAAGTTAGATGAAATAAAGACAACTAGTAGATGAGTACTTTATCCCTGGAGACTCATTTAAAGATCCCAGTTGTAAACCTTGCAAAATATATAGCCAAAATTTCCATAGAATATAAATATTGTATATTTTGGGGGTAGGTAAATCCTGTATATTGGTTGGGTATGCTTTGATATCTACCCCTTGAAGTTTTTGTGTGTCTTTCAGAAGATATCAGGACAGAATACATGTCACCAGTCCAATCTGCAGGTGAGGCTGGTTATTAACAACTGCACCAGAGTTTCTCCTTGGGAAAACAGGCTTTGGATTTAAGAATGTCATTCAACAGGTCTCTGAAAACATTGAGGCTGAGTTTGTCTGCCAGTTTGGTCATGGCTTCAGTAAGATCACGTGTTTACACACCATCCAGGATAAGAGGTTCATTACAAGGAGTAAAAATGTTCTCAGCTGTTCTTCCCTGAGCAGGTACCTTGACTTCTGTCATGTCCTGGACACAGAATGAGAAACATTCTCTTTGAATCAAAGGGTCAGTTGGATGATGCAGAGGGGAAGGAAAGAAAGATAGAAGGATCTAGGGTGACAAACCAAAAAAGAAGAAAAAAAGAATAGAGATCAAGGTTACACACAAAGTTGCTAATTTTTAAAAAAGTATACAATTTCTTTGTGCCTCCCTTCCTCTCAAATGTACTTTATTTTTAAAAAGCCTCTTGGTTCCTCTTTAGTGTGTGTACTGAGCCTGCAAGGAAGAGTATCTGTAGGAAAAAAAACCTCAGTGTTTCTTAATAAACAGCTAGGCTTCCCCTGGGTCTGATCTGCTGATTCTAATGACCAGAATAATTTGTCACTCAGACTTACTTGCTGCTAATAACGCTGTGCCATTGTGCAGCTTGAGGAGGGATGTGCCTCCAGTCTTTTTGCCAGAGTTGGGGTTTGAGTTCTGCTTTATTGTTACACAAGACTTTGCATGGGGACAGCAGTGAGGGTCCACACATTGCCATGACTCCTAGCACCAAAGGTTACTGCCTTCTAGACATGGTATTTGGGTGATTTTGCCTGTAGAGGATCATTTGAGTAGCTTTAACTGAAAAGAAAGCAACAGACTGGCTGTGTACAACCTGCCCTAGAGCACCGGTTAAATACTGAGGAAGTATTCCGTCAAACCTTGCTACCATAAGCGCTGCTCTTGGCAGCGAGGCTGAACCTGGCCTTTCCTGGGAGAGGGAAGGTGGTGTCTTGGGGGTTATTAGTGGAAGCCCCTCCCCTCCCAATTACTGCAGGATTTACAAAAAGGGTGCCTTTGTTTAATGGCATTCGTAATGGTCTCTGAAAGCATTTCTTTGTGGAAGAGCCTCCTTCAAAACCATCGGGAACTGTAGCAAGAAAAAGTCTTCTCTGCCTATTTATATTTGCTTTCACTGTCACTGGCTCCTCGTGTCATCCAGGACAGGGGATTAATCTCTCTGATCCCTCTATTTCTAGTTGTAAAAGCACAGTGTGCTATTGAGGGTGATTCACTACTGGGCCAATCCTTGTTATAATCTCTTGTAACTACGAAGGCATCAGTCAGAAGAGGAAGGCTCATGGAAAGATGTGGCATGCATCTGTGTATGTTTGGGGTTTTTTCTGTTTATGGGAAGATGGGATTGGAGTACAAGAAGTGATGCAATACAGGGCTCTGCCGTTGTTTCATAACACGGACCATATTACAGCAAGAAATTCTTGCAAATGCCTCTGCTTGCCTTATCTGAGTGTAGTTTTGTCTCCTTCTTGCATGTTTCCCATGGCCTCCTTCAGCAAACCACTCTTAAGGGACTTGCACTTATTAGTATGATGAATTCTGCT